TTGTAGAGGTGACATTCTATCCAAAATCTACCACGTCCAAATACATAGAGGTATACAGAGTGCGCATCTCAAAAACGGTCTGGCTAAGGCAGAAGCTCTACCCATCCCTCTTTATTTCGGTTCATGGTATGTTTTAGAGAGATTTTTTCGAGCCTTACTAATTCAACTCGAGAAAGCGTGCAACACTGACCTCAAAGTTTGAGAGTGAACGTGCTGATTAGTCTTTTATAATCCAAATTTCATCGATAGTAGTGTCGTTTTTCTCGATCGAGATTTGTTCCATGTGTAGATGAGTGGAGTTGGCGACGGTGAGGATCGTATAGCCGTAGTCATTGAATCTGAAAATTGCAACGGTAATGAGTAGATGGTTTCAGTTCATTAGTTCGTTTGCAAATAAGCAGAAGTTCACTGTAACATGCTTAGCTATGCCCCGCCCGAGACTCCGCCGAAATTTCTGTGAAGCTCTCCCAAACACCGACTCGACCCAATAACAAACCACTGGAACTATTGGAAACCTTGCATCACGAACCTTGCAGCACTGAAGGGCCATGGCGTGTCGGAGAATAATGCGTAAGCTGAGTGACAGCCCTGAAAGGAGGAAATGTCATTCTATGTTGAATCGCCAATTTTTTTAAAATCCAAATCGATTTTCAAATCAAATTCAATTGTAGAAGCTGTTCGTTCAAAGTATAAGACAAGGTTGAAGAAATTACCTAAAGGCACACCCCATGATTGCTGATCATACATATTGATCCAAAAAATGAGAGTAGAAGTGCAGGGAGGCCTGGCAATGAAGAAAAGTAGGAAAATATACCAAAATTTGAGACTCTTCCTTCTCACTTTCTTTCGTAATTTGGAATGTGCTAAGACGAGGGGCAGTGAGAAGAGAGGATAGCTGAGAGAGCACAACGGACGAGAGGGCACAGACGCTCTGCATAGAGCGAACGGCAAACGCCGGAAGCGGTCATGAAAGAGCTATAGCTCGTTTGTAGCGTAATTACAAGCCATAGGAACAGCACAATGGCGGCCTCTGCGGACAGCTCCATAATACCAACCCAAGAAATCGATCGACCTGTACCCATCATGAGGTGTGCCTTTAAGTTCTACCGTTGGTTTGAGCACAGCAGTCATTCGGCATTAGGGGTGTATATTTACACAAACATTTTCAAGACACGTAACACAAATATACGTGAATATTGGTGTATTCATAGGACACCAATAGCAGCATTCACTCCAGTTTTCCGTGAGTGTGTAGGATTTTCTTCGGATGCTCAAGTCACATTACTGCTTGGCACCTACGAACTTCAACTCGCCGAGGAATAGTGATAAATTTTGAAGCGATAAACAAAAATAGTCGCAAAAGAAGAAACGTACAGCTGATCCGGAGATGACATATACTGGAGCCTTTGGATTGGTGTAAGCATCAGACTGTAACAAACGAATATAAAATCTGCCTCTGGTTGCTAGTTATTCTTTAAAAAACTTGAAATTGCGAAACGAGGAGAAATTCGGTAACCATAACCTATTAGGTTCACATGTATAGGTGGTATGGTGATAGCGCGGGAGGATCCAGAAGAAGTCGGAGGTAGGGAGCACTACCCCTTTGAAGGAGCTCATCTCTGTTTGGAGCCTGGTGGGGCGACAGCTGGTCGTCTTCAATCTGCTGAGAAGGGGTTGGGAAGAAGGGATGTATCGGATCGGTTGAGCTTGGAAGAGTGAGTTTTCAGCTGAACGGTGGCAAAACTTGCAAATGTATTAGCACTGGCTGAAGAAGATAGGGAAGTTACAGATCTCTTAACGAAGTTTTCCTATGTGAGGTTTCGAGTTTTTTTTTTGGGCGCAGCCATGCATCCAGGGGAGTTGGAAGCGCTTGGGTTGGGGAAGGCGTAGATGGAATTCAGGATCTGCTCCAGTACGATATGCGGGCGAAGTACACTTGACGTTACACTTTATCAGCGCTCTACCGTAAGGCGGACCCCGGACCTGCAGATTAGGCATTTTCTACAAAAACTAGCATCCTGCCGCGCATCATGAGCATAGTGTATCGGAGGCTTCTCCTTCGAAAACTAATGAGCAACTCACCGAATTCCAAAATTTCGGTCGGCAATAGGATAAAATTCGTTCGTAGGAGTGTTCGTGACCCCAGAATCCCATATCTATTCCATACTGAAGAACAGTGGCTCCAATCCCGGCAATGTCGAGCCATGCCCGTGTCGAATCTTGGAATATTTTCATGGTATCGACGGTGGATGCTGTGGCTCTATGATTTAAAAAAAGTCAAAATTTCTTGCATGCTCACTTTGAATCCCGTACATGAATAGGACAAACGTGGTTCCTATTCGTGCGATATGAAGAAGAATGGAAGCAGACGTGGAGATTAGATGTGGGGTGAGCATCGACCCTTTGGAGGCACATTCTATGGTCACCCACCTTGGGTCATTGCGCTTTAAAATGGACTTAGAGGCGGAGTGGCCCAAGAGTAAAAAAAATTCAACTACAAGAGCGGTTGCTGTATGTATTGAAAATAAAGGCCTCTTTTTGAGAGTGAAGATGCGCTAGGACGAGAGACGCTCGGTCGAAGGCTGTCGCCGGTAGAGGGGCCACAGGAACAGCGCAGACGGCAGCACGTTACGCCTTCTGACGCTGCGACAGGCAGCTGGAACCTGCGATACTTGCCGCGGAAATAGTGCTAGGGAGAAGAAGACGCAGTTTGACCTTATCGCGCTCTCTCCAGCAGTGATTACGGTACTCTTTCTGGAGGTAAGCAAACCAGCCCTTTTGGCGTTTCGGCTGGGACCGTATGCTGAATGTTGGGGAGGGGATGGGGTCCCCAACGGTCGACGGTTTACTTCAACTCGGTTGGTACGATAGGAGAGTACTGACGCAAGTGGTGCAGCTGGTCCAGCAGCTCCGCCAGAAGGGCTGGTTTGCTCACCCCAGGACTAAGCCTTGGAGAGGACGGACCCGTCCTCTCTTTAAGGCTTAGTTCTGAGGTAAGCACCAAATTGTGGCGGTTCTAAGGACCGAGTTGAAGTGTGTCCGTCCGTCCACCGTCGGGGAGACTCCATCCCCTCCGGCGCAAGCATTGCAGGGTCATACGCGGTTCCCAAGCCGAAGGCGCCCAATAAAGGGGCTGGTTTGTACGTGCCTCTTCTGGATGCTCTTGTCTTCCACTGAATGGATGTGATCTAACGTCAATTTTCTTAATATATATCATGGGGATAGCAAGACATGCTATCTGTCTTATTGTTTATGATAATATCATGTAATACGTTGCGTCCTAATGATTACCACCGTGCTGTTAGTACACTTTTGGTGGTAGTCATCTTTAAATGTCAAACATCATCAGTGAGAATACGCCTCATGACTCGCAGCCGATTTGTCGAATGGATTGACACTCAGCGAGTTGAGTTGCTGCAGTAGAAGGGCGATGGTTGGAAGGTGATGAGCCACGGCTGGTCGCTCGCCGTGTCGCATGTTGCAGTCGAATAGTCTCTGTAAATGCAAGTATGTCACCGCGAGGAGGAAGATATCCAAGAGGGTTGACCCAAGAAGCAAAGATGTCCTAGCAGCAGACAAGTTCACAGCTGCCACGAACCGTTCAATTCTACCCTCTGTTTCAGAAAACCAGATATGCGTTGAGTGCAGACCATACACGACAAATTACGACGGCCTCCACAAAATGCAAATGTTTTTTGCCAATGAGGTGATTAGCCGGTTGTAGTTGTAAAATCGTTGTTACTAATCACAAGCTATTATTCAATTTATCAGGTTATCGCTAGTGTGAATCACTATATTTATCTGAAAGCAAGTACGGTAACTGACCGGTGGTTGTCCTGTAGTGTCTCGACTGCGTTTCTGTTGTTGTTCTGATTTAGAGTTACACTTTGCGCCATTCTTATAGGCCACAAGACATACCTTGAATGCGTTCTGAGCCACTCGGCATTGTTGCCATCAACGTGGTTCCATACACGTACGGAGATAGAAGGTAACCGTAGTATTCTGTCGCTCGATACCAACCTCAGTGGATGGGAAGCCGATATCGAGTAGCTGTATTATTTATTTTGTAGCTGGACACTGTTAAAATGCGGATTTGGCAGAACATCGAGAGTAACTTGTGTCTTTACGAACTTGTGCTGTCGCTTAAACCCGTCTGTCAAGATCCAGAATCTCTCTTGATAATCAGTAAAGTTCTTTCCGTCATCTTCATGATTTCCGGCTATTACCATGTAAGGCACCTAGGAAGAAGAATAGAGTGACAAAAAATTATAGGCTAAATTCTAATAAAGACGCGCATCGCGAGGTCTTATCAGTTGCGTTTTTCGATACTCACAACGGCCACACGTACGAAGATTTGGGAAGGCTTTTCTCGGAGTGTGACGAGTTATGCCGACTTTGTAACATTTTTGGGAGAGGTGTTGAAGGCAGGTGCAGGGGCATTGTTTTTATGACTGAAGGTGGCCGGCGAATCTGAGAAGAATCGAAAGCTAGTTTAACCCTCGTGGACCGAAAATTACCGCTGACGTCATGAACGCGATGTGTTCAACCCTGCCTCTTTGCCATGCAGTTAGGTTCCAACGATGATCAAGAGGGTGGCCAATCGGAGAAATTCTAGCATATTTAGCTTCCTCTTCACTTCAGGTAGTCTATTCAGAGCTGGTTCCCTCATGCATCACGTCAGCGAGCTCGCAGGTCCCTTGGAGTGTTCCAATGGAGCGAAACCTTCGAAGCCAAGCCCCGCGATGAAACCAATGATAAGAGCGCTTTGTAATGATGGCTAAATTGCTGGACGGCTTGGAAGTGGAAAGGAAAGCTAGATGTAGAATCTAGCCAGTCCGCACCGTTGCCAATTAAGTCTCCAGAGAGGGTCGGAAGGTGGACAAGGGGCGAGTGCGGGATGGTTCCAAAGAGACAAATCATCCGAGGATTCACGCCGTTTCGAGAGCAGTTCGGAGAGAGCCAGAGGCGGAGGTGGGTGGAAGCGTTGCAACGGGATCAATGGTTGAGGCCGCGTAGAGGATTAGGGCTCTGACCGAACTTTGCGGCGAGCTAGAGTGATCTAGGTAGGTAGGGATCTTACACATTTCCTCGTGGTATCATTCCCACAAGTCGGGCTAATGCCGTGGTTTGTCTTTGGAGAAATCCTTCGCGGAAAATTCTTGCATTCTTTTGTTAAACATGAATGTATCAGTTGTGATCACTAGATGCAATACACAAAGTTTTACGCATGAAGGTTCGGTTTCGAAGAGCAAACAAACTCGCGAAAATCCATTCTATGGACATAGAAGCAGCGTCAACCCTATGTGGGGGGGGGTCGTATTTTGATGAGTTTTTGGAGAGGCGTGGGTCGTACTTGCTTCGGTTGTAAGAAGTTGCATGTGATGAGTGGGGAGCGGCGCGGGAGAAAATTTGCCCCCCCCCCCTCCCCCTCCCGCTCGACGGCATTTTTGGAGGAAAAAAGTGGGCGGGGTTTTGATGGAAGATGGAGATGGTGGAGGTAGGGAAAAGGGGGTCGTATCAAATCCACCTTGGGGAGGGGGGGGGGTCGTAAAAAATTTTCGAAAAGTAGCAACGATAGGACCGACCCTGCTCGAAGGTAATTCGGGCGGAGCCAAAGGCGGGGCATGGAATAAGTCCGCACAGGGGCGCCTACGTATCAGGCGACGCAATGAAAGAATCGGGTTAAAAGCGCGCGATTTCGGAGAGTAGAGACAAATCGATCGATAGAATAGGATGGAGTAGAAGTGTAAGATGTGAATGCAATAAAGCAGAAGGCCAGAAAGAGCTTCCTGCCCCGCCTGATGAAGGCACTCCAAGAACCAAGTGGAAGTATCCCCTCGCCACCATTTTTTTACTAAAACAAAAGCAATATTTCTGTTCTTTCATTTCTTATCGTGGACGAAGGGTTTCAAGCCTGTGAATTAGCCTGAGCTTGTGAATGGCTGAAACTGAATCATGATTTTTCTGTGAAGGATTCCTTTGAAAAGGCAAAGTTCGGGCTCAGACCCACCTAATAAGCCCTTAAAGTGGCTAGAAGTGCATGGGACGCAACTGCAGGCGACTCGCCAAGTTCCCGCATCCAAATGCGTCACTAAGGCGCTAGGGGCCAAGGACTTTGACACGCTCCTCCTGTTGCGACACGCTCCGCCCACCGCTCGATATTTTGTCTGCGTCGCAATGCTGATCTGCTATGCTCTCTCTTCTCGGATTTCTCTACCGCTCTCCGCGCTTCACATTATCTCTCATCTCCCTGCCGGCCTTTTGAACTTCTCCGCAACGTAAAGTAAAAGGCTCGTATTTCCTGTGTATTTCAGAATTTTTCTTCCTTTTTTTCTCCAATGGCTCGTGGATGAAGGGTTTCAAGCCAGTGAATTATGGCTGAAATTGAATCATGATTTTTCTGTGAAGGATTCCTTTAAGTGTTCCGACAGAGCACAGCAAATCAAAATCTGTGGCACATTAGAAGTAAATGTGATCACCTTGGACAGCAGCGGTTCGAGCTGATTCATGAAGTTGTCGCCAGTTTCACCATTATTCGTGTGTAAGTCGTAAGCTATGTCACCTGTTAATAAATACTTGTATGTATGGGTAAAAATCGACAGCTGAAGAATAGTTTTTGTGAGTAGCTGCTTTAAGTTGAGGTTTTTAGGAACAGGAAATACTACATACACATTTACAATTGTGAAGTCTACGACTATTCACAAACTTACCGAGATGAACGATAAAATCGAATTTTCCAGCAAGGCCATTTCGTATCAAGCTTTCAGTGGAATTACCATGCCAGTAGCCCAGATCGCCAAATATGCATGCCTGAACATTCTTTAATTATTTTTAGTTATTGATATTATTGTGCGAAGTGAGGCAATGACGTTATAAATATATGTAACTATAAAAGTGGGTCGAGGCGGAAGTGGTGTAGTGGCAAGTGGCACGCTTACCACGCGAGCGGTCCGGGGATCAAATCCTGGGTCGTGAGTCGCCCGGGCCAACCAAGCCTTCCATCCCTCCGGGGTCGGTTAATTGGTACCAGACTTGTCTGGGAGGATAAAAACACTGACTTGTACATCGGCTGGCCCCCGCAAGTCAGGCCACATCGCATTCAAACGCCACTACGAATGTACAAATGGAAGTAGAATGCGTGCCGCATCCCAAAAAGGGATTGATCAACGGCAAATGCTTTATCCTTTATCTTTATTTACATTTCTCATAAATAAAACAGCAGGGGCTGCTCTGATGGTGAGTGTTTAAGAGAGTGAACACAACAGCTGGGGGCGGAGCGGTTTTGCTGACTTGATTGGCCGACATTGGTGGAAGGGTGTTCGGAATCGGCCCCAACCACTTTCCTAGCGCGGTGAGGGACCTGGTTTACCAGAGGTGTCCAATGACGTCATCAGAACCGCACCGCCTTTCACCCATTGTATTCATTATCTCTAAGGTTCTGTACCTTGTAGGATTGAGGATTTTCTGCCATTGTTTTGAACGAGAACTGTCGAGTGCTAATCTGATAATCTGAAACGCAATGATTGATAACCAGCGCTAATGAAGGTAGAAAAAGAACAAGCTTAGTTTAAGAATTCTTTTCAAACAAGAAGAAAGAATGAATATCGCTCTAGTGATATCGCCAGGCTTCAGGTATTAGTATTGGCTATTGTTATAGGGCGTAAATTTTTAAGAGAGAATCAAATTTCTTCATACATTTGGAAGTTCAATCCAGTTCTTCTTCCTCCTTGGAGAATCATTTCCGAGGCTGTCACTAAACTGCCCTGTATAAGGTGAATCACTCATACATTCTTTTCACTTGTATATTAGCAATTATCTGAGATGCTCTGCTTACCAAATAGTTTTTGACGCTCGCCGTCCCAGAAATCTGGGTTCGTATTCAGCAGGAACCGGCTGTAGATGAGGCCGAAAAATCTGCGCCCGTGCACTGGTTGATGACGCATTTTTAAATGATCAAGAGTTCCCAGACGTGAATCTTAGGTGCTTTCCTGTCCCTGCCCGGGAAATGCCATATGGCTCTTGAGTTCTCTTGAGGGAACCTTAGAATGTTTCCAACCGTGTTCTTTCGTGAAGTTGGGTAAGCCACAACGACCACATGATTGATATCATAGCTTTCCGCGCTAAGCAATGATTATGTAATCATGTGACAAATAATACAAACTAAACAGGTTACTGTAATCTAGGATTAGGTGATTAGGTACAGTAAGAAAGAGATGGACTCAGTTTTCAATCCGGAAATTCAGTCGCACAAGTCAAGAAATAGTACGATGCTCTACGTTTTCCGGCTGAACCAGGAAAAACCCTACTCTAATCGTGAGCGTCTATAGGTGTGGTTAACACTCTGATATTTTGTCTTTACGGCACTTTAACTTCACGCAATAGCAAATTATGGTCGGTAATAACGTACAGTAAGTAGTCAATGGCTGTAGGTTTCTCATCATCGCTTTGTGCGAATATCGTACACTCGTGCCGGACGTCCATTTCTTCACACCTTCATCGGTTGCAGTGTATGGCAGGTTCGAAGGCGATGTGCCATATTTCACTTGAGCATTATCTGTAAAATAAAGATGAAGGAAATTTTTTTGGCTTTCGCTGATCCTGTTCTGGGGTGCTCCATGCATTCTTCCTCCATTCAGAATCCGATTTGAATGCAATATACCTAACAAATCATTTGCGAGGCCAGCCGATTTACAAGCACGGTCAACCCCAGCGTTGGTACATTTTGGAAATTTTCACGACCCCCCCCCTTTGAGGCTATCCCCTGAGAACGGGTGTGTCTAGATACATTAACTTACATATAGACGGGGGAGAAAGTCGGGGCGAGGGGTACTTACTGTTCATCCAGGTGTTCGTGTCCCAATCTGATGAAATCAGCGAAATTCACACGTGCCTTTCGAAGGTCATAGAAGCCTTTATATTAGAGGTTGTGCGACGAGGTAAGAGAATGGGAAAATTCAAATCATGCTCTCTCAAAAAATTGCTAAATGTTCCTTGATCACGATTTTTTGAGAAGGATTCCTTCAAGGGTCCGACTTCGACGCATTCGACTTCGTTCAAGGCGTCGTAGTAATAAATATTTGCATTAGGTTCATACATGCATTAAAGGCAAAAGTCGGGCTCAATAAGGGGGTATTATGGCGATTGAAACTGAGTATAGAGATGCGAAGTGGAACGACAGTGGAGAAAAAACTGAGAAAAACCGTCGACAAGGCCGTTAACAAAACCCTCTTTCCCACTAGCAGTGAAGGAGGCTGGCTTGGGAAAGAGGCACGTACAACATAGTTTTTCTGGAGATGTCAGTCGTTTTATCGGTTGATACGGCATCATCCTAACTGATTCACCGTTTTATGAAAGCCACGCACCACTTCCGGAGGTGGGCGGTCTCTGGATTGACGAGGCGGCCCTGGATTGAAACCGAACGCCCGGGGCCTTAACGGGGTTTTCAAGGTGGGAAGTTGCTGCAATGTGTGCAGCTACCCACATACAACTTCCAGGCACGGG